GTGAACAAGTTTCTGCTTCTTTCTGAGACCAGATTTAGATCCAGAAAGGTGGGTAAAAGCTAGGACTCACCAGGGAGGAAAAGTCAAGAAGTGGTGATCAGGGGCCAGGCTTCCACCTCCAGCCTGCCCTGTGGCTTGGGTGGTGCCCTGGCTCTCCAACCCTGAAAGCAGCAGAAGCCGGACACGGAGGCCCAGTTTCCTGAGGGTTGGGCAGGCGTTGACTGTTGGCTCTGAGCGACACAGGAAATGGAGGCGGAAGTGGCAGCAATGGTGAAGGGTGAGGAAATCCCAGGCCTCACCCTTGTTTTAGCCAGAAACAGGATTTGGGGCAGCGGCCAACCTGTTCAATAAACATCATTGAAACTATATCAGGCTTGGTACTGGGTACGGAAAACGAACCCACTCCGTGTAGCCTGTTTCTTTGGATTCCCTTCTCTCTATTGCACCAAGAGATTATTGGCACTTCAGCCTCCCTTGGTTTGGAGCTGCGACCAGGTTTCATTCAACCACTTCAGCAAACAGGACGCCTCCCAGCGGCCTGACCTGCCGCCCTGCATCTAGAACCACCGAGCACACCCACAGGAGGAATTCAGCCCAATCTGAATCACATTCCTTCTTTTCTGGTCTAACATTATGTCCACATCTACTCCCCAGGTTTTTGATGGTATTAATTAGCAAGATCTTACAACACATTTGGTAAGCCTTCTCCTAGGTCAGATTTTTTTTTTTAGAGAATGGAAGGGAGGGAGTGAAAGGGGGGGTGGGAGATAGATCGATTGGTTGCCTCCCACACACCCCCAAATGGGGCCTGGGGCCAGGGATCGAACCTGCAACCCAGGTATGTGCTCTTGACCGGGAATCAAACCTGAGATACTTTGGTGCTCAGGCCAACGCTCTAACCATTGAGCAACACCAGCCAGTGCCAGGTCTGATTTTTGTATTTCCCTGGAGCATGATAAAATCTGGCTCTATTAGTAATTATGGGCTCGGAGAGGTGAAGAAACTTGCCCAAGACCACACCTAGTATGCTCGCTTAACCCTGACCCTCACCCACCTTTGCTTTAAGATAAGCACTTTCCTTAGAACTCCCAAAGGTTTCTTGAGGGTCACGCCTCAGCCCAATCCCTCATGTTGATGCTGGGGATGCCGAGGTGGGGAGATGGAGAGGGCCTTGTCAAAGGTCACAGGTCAGGGTCAGACAAGCCTGTGCCCTGCTCCACTCAGTGCCTCCCTGGGCAGATCCTGTGGCCCAGTTTCTCTCTCTTTCTCTTTCGCAAATCCTGTGGCCCAGTCTCCCTCCCTCCCTCCCTCCCTCCCTCCCTTCCTCTCTCTCTCTCTATCTCTCTCTCTTTCCTTTCTTTCTTTCAAAAATATATATTTTCATTGATTTCAGAAAGGAAGGGAGAGGGAGATAGAAACGTCAATGATGAGAGAGAATCATTGATCAGCTGCCTCCTGCACGCCCCACACTGGAGATCAAGCCCACGACCCGGGCATGTGCCCCGACTGGGAACCAAACCATGACCTCCTGGTTCTTGGGTCTACGTTCAATCACCAAGCCACACCAGCCAGGCTCTTTCTTTCTTTTTGTAATATTTATTTTAGAGAGAGAGAAACACGGATGTGAGAGAGAAACATTGATCAGTTGCCTCCCACACATGCTCCCACCGGGGATCAAACCTGCAACCTGGGTATGTGCCCTGACCAGGAATCAAATCAGTGACCCTTCTGGTGCATGGGCTGACACTCAACCAACTGAGCCACACCAGCCAGGGCCCCTGGTCCATTTTCTCTGGACCCTTCCACCTGTACCACCTCCCCTCCTCCAGCTCCTGGCTCCCCCACTGCCTCCCAGGAGGACCCAGGCGGGCTCAGGAGGGCTCGGGAGGGCCTGGCACTGAGGAGGGTCCCCTCTCCCCTGCAGGGAGGTTCTGGCACATCTCTGACCTGCACCTGGACCCCGACTACAAGGTGTCCACAGACCCCCTCCAGGTCTGCCCCTCAGCTGGCTCCCGGCCGGTGTACAACTCGGGCCCCTGGGGTGACTACCTCTGTGATTCTCCCTGGGTCCTCATCAACTCCTCCATCCACGCCATGAAGGAGATCGAGCCGGAGCCAGACTTCATCTTCTGGACAGGGTGAGAGCCGACATAACAGCTACCTTCCACTGGGTTTCTGCCGCCTGCCACCTGGCACCTTCCTGCCCCGTCCCCCTTAGTCCTCACATGAAGCTCAAAGGGACCCTGGGCGTGGCTGATTCCAAAGCCTGTGCCCTCGCCCTCCGTGTCCCGGCCTCAGCAGAGTGCAGCTCTCACCGTGGCTGGGACAAGGCCACGGCTTGCCTGGGCATGTGGAGAACTCCCCATTTTAAGTTGGGGGATGAATACTGCAGCCACTCCCACTGGGGTTTAGGGACTGCAAGCCCTAAAGATCCAAATGCAGAAACAGGAGAAGGTAGGTGCCATTATTATTCCTATTTTACAGATGAGCTGATGGGGGCTCGGAGAGTTTAAATAACCAGCCAAGGATCCACAGCAGGTCAATGGCAGAGCCATTGGGTTTGAACTCTGTCCTATGTGACTCCCAACTTCAGCCTGGCCATACCTCTCAGTTCCACGGCCTCTTTTCTCACAGCAGAGCCCCCCACCCCCCGTACCCCTTTTCTCATTCCCCATCCTGAGCTGCCCACACCAAACTGGCTTGGTGGTGTTTTGCAGGGACGACACCCCTCACGTGCCCAACGAGAGGCTGGGAGAAGCAGCTGTGCTGAGAATCGTGGAACGCCTGACCAACCTCATCAGAGAAGTCTTTCCGGGTGAGAGCCTGCCATTAGTCCTCCACAGCATTCCCTGAACCCCATGGTGCCATGGGACAGCAGCAGCGAGGGGTAAAGCCATGGGACAGTAGCGGCCTTCATCCATTGACAATAATAGCTGTGGGAAAGTTCTGTGCCAGGCACTTCCAACAGCCCTGCAGGGAACATGAGAGCTAATTGGCCTATGGATACACACAGAACTTATTCATGGAAATGATGGGAGAATCATTGATTGGCTGCTTCCTACACACCCCACACTGGGGATCCAGCCCACAACCTGGGCATGTGCTCTGACAAGGAATTGAACCGTGAGCTCCTGGTTCATAGGTCGATGCTCAACTACTGAGCCACGCTGGCTGGGCTAGAAAGTTTTCCAGTTTATCATACACTTGCACATTTGCTGAATTTCCTAATATTCAAGATGCCATTGACTGTAAGATGCATCATTTTATGTAGAGTGTTGAACGCAGATGTAGAAGGCTTGCCGACCCAGCCCCTTCCAGGCCCTGCCACGTCCTAGCTGGGTAATCTCATCAAGACCTATTTCTCCCTGGGAAAAAAAAAATACTGGTACCTGCCCAGAGGATTGCTGTGAGGATCAAAGAAGCCAACCCATTCACTCATTTAGTCAATCAACAAACATGTATTGAGCATCTACTATGGGTGACACAGTTTAGGGGTAGGGGACTTGGCGGTGGAACAAGACGTCAGGTCATGACCTCATGGAGCTTGTAAGGAGCTTCCAAAAAGTCTGACCCATAGAAGCAGCAAAAAGAGGGAGGGATCCTCTCCCTTCTCTTCTGCCCTTGAGATTCCAGGAATTCGTGTTTTTCTTAAATGGATCTTTAATGGCTGCCAGCATTTATTTCAGAGAGGTGAGGTTTTTCCGGGCAGTTACAATGATGGCCTCCTGCTTTGTGAACAATTCCTGGTGAGAATTCGACAGCTTCCTCCTTTTTGCAGAGCTCTCAAGACCTGGCAGGCTATACAGGACAAAGGGTTTGTTAGAGGCATTTCCCCAACTGAGAATGGGAGGCTCCCTGGGGTGAGCCAAGCTCATATAAGGAAAATGCCCTGCCCTGAACTCAGAGGGAGTCTTTGTTTGTCATCAAATATTTATTGAACAACTACTACCTGCCAGACACAGTGGTAAAATAAAAGTGGGGATGTGGCTGACAGCCTCCACTCCCTCCCCTCCCCTCCCCTCCCCTCCCCTCCCCTCCCCTCCTAGGCTCATTCACAGGCCACTTCCTCTGGGAGGCCTTCCCCTGACTCCACCACTCCTGTTACACACTTCCACAGCAAGAGGCTCTTCCTTTTTCGTAACAGCCACACACCTCTCGTTGCCCAATACCTGTCAACCTGCTGCAATGCAAAGCCTCTGGGACTGGGACTGGGTGCCTGGTACCAGGTCTACGTGTCGGTACAAACGAGGTGCTCAGTAAATACTTTTGTTTCATGAGTGAAACTCCTAAGGCCTCCCGGAGTGAACCAGACCGTTTCCCTAACAGTAAGATGGCCCCGGAATTGACAAGAACAAGGAACACTAAATACTAAGTGTCCTTTTTAGAAAAATATTTATTTTTATAGCTTTCAGAGAGGAAGGGAGAGGGAGAGATAAAAACATCCATGATGAGAGAGAATCAACAATTGGCTGCTATCTGCACGCCTCACACTGGGGATCGAGCCTGAAACTCGGGCATGTGCCTTGACCAGGAGTTGAACTGTGAACTCCTGGTCCAGAGTTCAATGCTCAACCACTGAGCCACACTGGCCGGGCTAGCTTTCTCCTTCTCAGTTGATGCTTCCTCTCTGACCAGAAAACTTTCTGCTGGGAATGGGGTTAGGGTCCCGGATCAGAGAACTCACCGCTCCTCCTTCCCAGGTCTCAGCAAAGTTCAGCGAGATTCTATTAAATGAAGTTTTCCGTTTATCTCTGTATTTTCCTCCTCTGTGGGTTTTTTCTCATTCCTCTTCTCCATTAGCTCTGATGGCCAATGGCCAACTGAAAATGATTAACTCAAAGTGCTTTCCCATATATATTTTTATATTTTTCCTTCCCTTCCCAGATACTAAAGTATACGCTGCTTTGGGAAATCATGACTTTCACCCCAAAAGCCAGCTCCCAGCAGGGAGCAACAGTATCTACAATCAGATAGCAGAACTATGGAGACCCTGGCTCAATAATGAATCCATTGCTCGCTTCAAAGAAGGTACTAATTCCATTTGCTACTATACGCACTCATTGTACACCAAGGTCTAATCTAATTCATCTTTACCACATCCCCATGAGACTGGTACTGATTTTATCCCTATTTTATAGATAAGGAGACTGAGGTTTAAAGATACCAAATCACTCGGCCAATGTCACCCCCATAGAGGAGGCAGATGTGATAGCAGAACCCATACTCTTAACCCCACGGCACTAATGAGGACGAGCAGTGAATATTTATTGAGAGTTTACTGTGTGCCAAGCACTATCCTCAGTGCGTTACTACACTCCTTGCAAATACACTAGGAAAAAGCAGTGACCTTCGATTCAGTTCAAGGAGGGTTTCTCAACCTTGTCACTATTGACATTTGGGGCAGAATGGCTCTGTAGGGGGAGCTGTGCTGTGAACTACAGGCTGTTTAGCAGGATCTCTGGCCTCTACCCCTAGGTGCCAATAACACCCCCAGTTGCAATACCAAAAAATGTCTCTAGACATTGCCAAACGCTCCCTGGGGGACAAAGATCACCTGGTTGAGGACAACTGACCCAAAGACAGCCTGCCCAAGGTAACCCCATTCCTCTTCCTGTTCCTCAGTTCCCTGCTGCTGGGGCTCCCCATTGGTCAGACCAACCAGAAGCCTGTGGCACAGAAGCTCATTGGCTTAGTTCACATAGGTCAGCTCCTAGGGCAAAGAGCCGAGTAGAGAGAAGGGCTGATGATGCATCTGGAGGGGCAAGCACACCTCATTGTTATCACCATGATAAGATGAGGAAACTGAGACAGAGAAGTTAAGTAACTTTCCCAAGTTGCACAGCTAATAAGTGATAGAAGCAGGATTTGAACCGAGGTAACCTGACTCCAGAGCCTTAGGTCTTAACCCATGATGCCCATCTTATGGGAAAGATGGGAAGGGAGTATTAAGGGAGGGAGGAAGTGGGAGGGTAAAGAGGGGCAGAGGTGTGTTTAGTCAGAGGCAGAGGACCCCTTCATATTTTTCCTGGCTGTGATGTCCTAGGTGCGTTCTATTCTGAGAAGTTGCCGGGGACGACTGGGCGCGTTGTGGTCCTCAACACCAATCTGTACTATACCAGCAACGAGCAGACGGCCAGCATGGCTGACCCTGCCCTGCAGTTCCAGTGGCTGGAAGATGTGCTGAGCAACGCGTCCAGAGCTGGGGAAAAGGTAAGGGCTCCTACCTCCTCCCCCTCCCTCTCTCACTCTGGAATCACTTCCTGAATGAGTCTCCCACCTCTGCACAAATTCATCCGCTCTTTGCAGATGCCTACATCACAGGTTGGAGTGGGGAACCTTTTTCTGCCAAGGGCCATTCGGATACTTATAACATCATTTGCGGGCCGTACAAAATTATCAACTTAAAAATTAGCCTGTTATATTTGGTTAAACATTTAATTAACTCAGCCCCAATGCCTTGGAAGAGCCAGACCAAATGATTTCATGGGCCTATATGGCCCGCGGGCCAGACGTTCCCCACCCCTGACAGAGGGTCTTTATCAGCCTGGCACCAGGAGGGGGCTTTGTCCATCCTCAGAACAGCCTGTGAGTCTGGGACCCCGATGCCCATTGCAGATGTGAGGCTCCCGAGGGGTGGTATGATCCCAAGTCACACAGTAAGTGGTGGGGCCAAGACCAGAACCCCTGACTCCAAGTCCAGTGCTCTTTTCACTTCTGCCACACTCCACGGCTGCAGACCACATTGTGGGCTAGACTTCAAGGGGCTGCCCTGCCCTGTGGGGAAGCACGGGACTTGGTTGGAATGCCTGTAAGGAGGATTCTCTGAAAGGTCGGGGGCCTCTGGGGGGACCTTGCCGAAGGTGGCAGCCCCTACCTTGACTTTTCCAAACAAGTCCTATCCCCTGGGGTGTTTTGCTAGAATCTCTATGTTTAGTCTTTAAAGAACCGACCTTGTAGAAGCATATACTTTCTCAAGGATACTTACCCTACTGATTGTATCTAGAGGTTAATTTTAGTTCAAGCTGTCGTTACAATAAAAAGCTAAAGAAGCAGGCAATCAGGGCTGTTTTAGTTGCTAAAGCTAAACAGTCCCTTAGCCTTCTCTTTTACAGAAACGTGTGTCAGAGTAATTTGTTCATCCATCGCTCAGGGTCTGCTGGTCAGCCCTGGCACTGCCCTTGAGGTGTGTCCAGCTAGTCTGCTGGGCTGGCAGCTCCCCGAGGACTGGTCCTGTGTCTCATTTGCTTGAGTCCCTCCATGGAACAGCAGCACCTCCCAGCAGGATTTCATGGCTGGTGCTTCTGAGCACTCACTGTGCATTATCTCATTTAACTCTCAAAGGTCCACCAATTAGGTGCTATTCCTGATGAAAAAACTGAAGCTCATGGGGGCTGAGGGGGTAAGAGATCAACCAAAGGACTTGTATGCATGTATATGAGCATAACCAATGGACACAGACAGTAGGGGGGTGAGGGCATGTGCTGGGGGGTGGGAGTGGCTGAGGAGAGGTCAATGGAGGGAAAAGGAGACTCATGTAATACTTTAAACAAGAAAGAATTTAAATTATAAAACAAAACAAAAACAACAACACTGAAGCTTAGAGCGGCGACACACCGCTGGTAGACTCCAAAGTTCATGCTCCTAATTGCCCTCTCTCTCACCCCCATTCTACTTCTTGCAGTGGTAGCCAAGGGTCCAGGTATTGTTAGCTGAGTGATTCAAGGAATGGAAGATGTGATCACACATGAACACTTAGCATGTGCTACGCAGTCATGCAGGGCAGGCTCAGTTACAGCGCCCAGCTCTCCAAGAGGAGACCAGCCTGCGAGGATCGGGAAGGGTTCAGGAGGAGGTGTCCTTTGAACTGGGTTTTGAAGTCTGAGTAGGATTACAGAAGTGAAATTAAAAAGGGCACTCCAGGTGGCAGGCACAGCATGGGCAAAGCAGAGGTGGGAAGCATGTGTACATTACAGGGTACAGAGAATACTGGAATCTGCCTGGAAGAGGGGAAGCAGAGGGGGTGCACTTGAACCTGTCTGCTTGCCTTTGGGGAGATGGGCAGGTTTTGAGAGGTGGAAATGAAGGGCTGGGGAGGGCATCTCTGAGCCCCTCCTGGCACTCCTTCCTCATAGGTGTACATCATTGGCCACGTGCCCCCGGGGTTCTTTGAGAAGAAAGGGAACAAAATGTGGTTCCGGGAGGGATTCAACGAGAAGTACCTGAAGGTGGTCCAGAAGCATCATCGAGTCATCGCAGGGCAGTTCTTCGGGCACAACCACATGGACAGCTTTCGGATGTTCTATGATAATGCAGGTACTCAACCTGGAGGGTGCCTGCCAGCCTCCCTCCCTCCTCTCACCAGCCTCTCACAGTCCCATTGTCTCTCTCCTAAAAGGTGCCCCCATCAGTGTCATGTTCCTTACACCTGGAGTCACCCCATGGAAAACCACATTACCTGGAGTGGTCAATGGGGCCAACAACCCAGGCATCCGAGTGTTCGAATACGACCGAGCCACGCTGAGCCTGCAGGTCAGGAGCCCTGGGTCTGCTGGGGCTGGAGGAGGTGGGAAGGAGGGAGGGAGGCAGGGCCCTAAACACATCACCACACTCCCTAATTCTTTCCCAGCTAATCCACACTCTAATGACCACTGAATCTCAGGAAGGTCAAGTTACTTCCCTCCTGCTAGGACTCAGGATCAGACCCCTGGTGCTAGCTCCAAATCCTGCCACCAAATCAGGTCATTTCTTCTTCCCCAAATCTCCCTTCGCCCCGGATCATTGCCACAGGCCTCCTACCTTATTTCTCTGCCTCCAGCACTGCCCTGCGGTAGCTCACCTGCTACCTACTACAGAAGAGATTAATCTTTTTAAAGCACTTGTCTCTCTCCTGCTCAATAACCTTCAATGGCTCCCCAGTGTCCCCAAGATAAGATGGATCTCCTCAGCCTGGTATTCAAGTATGCCCTCAGGCCCACTGCCTACAGATCTGTCTTCTCTACACCGATTACACTGCAGCTAATGCAGGTTCCCAACTCACCAAGCAGCCCGTCACCTCCCGGGATGTGCTTGTGATGATTGAAATGACAAAGAAACATTATTCCTTAATTTATTCAACAAACTATTAATGGTCTGCTATGTGCCAGGCCGGTGCTAAGCACAGGAGATACCTAAGTGAACACAACAAAGTCACTGCTTTCCTGGAGCTGACGTTCTTACAGGAGTAAACAACTAAGTCAAGTCAAGTACGACATGAGATACGTGCTAAGGAGAAAAGAAAACAGCGAAGAGGCAGGTGGTGACGATGGTCATAGAGTGTGTGTGCCGTTACAGGTGTGGCAGGAAAGTGTCACTGACAGGATGACATTTCAATCCCGAGTAAACTGAGGGAGCGAGCCATGTGAGCATCTGGTGGAGGAAGGGCGAGTCTTTTGCCCTGGGGTGGGAGTGTGGCTGGTGTGTTAGAAGAGCAAGGAGGCCAGTGTGGCCACAGTGGGAGGGACAAGGTTAGATCACGCAGGCCATGAGTAGGACTCTGGATTTGGAAGGTTTGGGGCCGAAGAATTAAATATGCTGACTTACAAAATTTACAAAGCCACCATATCTGCTGTGCAGAGAACAGGCTGTAGAGGTCAAGGGCAGAAGCAGGAGGACGAGACAGGAGGTGACTGCACCAACCACGAGAGGTGATGGTGCAGCAGGTGGTGAGACGTGCCAGATCCTGGATGTATTGTGACGGCAGAGCAGACAGGATTTGCTGGTGGACTGGACGAGGGGTGTGAGGAAAGAGGAATCCAGGAGGACTCCAAGGCTTTGGTTTGAAAACCTGGAAGGAGGAAGTTGCTGTCGACTGCAATGGGATCACTGCAGGAGCAAGTTTGGGAGGGAAGACCAGAAAATTGGTTTTGGACCTGTTAGCTTCAGGATGTCTAAGTGGCATGCAAGTGAAAATGCCGAGGGAGGAGGCAGCTGGAGTCCCAGGAAGAGGTGGGTACTGAGATTTAATCTGGGAGTTGAGAAATGCCATCTAAAACACGGACTGGATAAGATAACCTCGGTCCTTGATTCTGGAGTAAATGAAGGTGGAGAAGAGGGCTGAGGATTTTGAAGAGTGTGATCTCTGTCCACATGGGCACTCAGAGGCCTTTTTCAGCAAGAGGAATTACAGGCTGGGACTCCCTCCTCCTCCCTGCACCTGGCCCCACCAACGATCGGTCGTTTGTTTTGCCACGATGCAATGTGAGAGGTCGCAGTTCTAGCCTGGGCACCAACATGCCTAATCAGCGGTTCTCAACCTGTGGGTCGTGACCCCTTTGGGGGTCGAACGACCCTTTCACAGGGGTTGCCTAATACCATCAGAAAACACATATATAATTACATATTGTTTTTGTGATTAATCACTATGCTTTAATTATGTTCAATTTGTAACAATGAAATTGGGGGTCACCACAACATGAGGAACTGTATTAAAGGGTCGCGGCATTAGGAAGGTTGAGAACCACTGCCTTACATCCTTCTCAGGGAGGGAGTCAGACACACGGGGGTTTGAATCTTGGCTCCGCCACTCAGGAGCTGTTGAACTCCATGGGCCTCCCTTGCTTCCTCTGTAAATGGGAGGCAGGAAATACCACGCATACATGGCAGCTCCTCTAACCCTACCTCTAGTGACCTGAAGCAGATCCACAGATTTAAGTGGAAAGTGTTGGACAGATAAACCCTTCCAGATTCTAGTCCTGAAGATGCACCTGAGTCCTAGGGGTCTTGGGTGTATCCCAAGCCTCCAGTCATCCACAATTCTATAGCCTATCTCAGCCAGGCGCTCCGTCCTACTTCTTCAAGTTGCTTTTTGTCCATTTATTCTATAAATATTTACTGAGCATCTTCTGTGTACCCGGAAGCTTGCTGGGACAGAAAATGCACAGGCCAGGGGGTCAACCACCTGGTTCCACTCCTGCCTTGGCCACTGAACACCTGTAGGGCCCTGGGCAAAGAAATTAACCTCTTTAGGACTCAGTTTCTTCATCTGTGAAATGGGGATGATAAGCGCAGTTACTTCATCAGATTCAATTAGCGGATGTCACACACACACACACACACACACACACACACACCTGGTAAGTAGTAAATGCTCATTACCTAATAGCAGTCATTATGGAGGGTGGGGGCAAAAGCAAGGTGCAGGATTCGGGGTGGAAGCAGACAGGTATCCATAGCCGGCCTCCTGCCCCCTCTCCAGGACATGATGACTTACTTCATGAACCTGAGCCAGGCGAACGCGCAGGGAACAGCGCGCTGGGAGCTCGAGTACCAGCTGACCAAGGCCTTCTCGGTGCCCGATGCGAGCGCCCGCTCCATGCACGATGTGCTGGGCCGCATCGCCAGCGACCAGGGCGCGCTGCAGCGCTACTATGTCTACAACTCCGTCAGCCTCGACACGCGGGCCTGCGACGAGATCTGCCGCGCCGAGCTCGTGTGCGCGCTGCGCGAAGTGGCCGTGGACTCGTACACCACCTGCCTGCGCGGCCCCGCCGCTGCTCCCGGGCCCGGGCTCGGGCTCGGGCTCCTGCTGGCGGCGCAGCTAGGCCTGAGCGCGTTGCTCGCGTGGTGACCCGGGGTGCCGCCTGCTGGATCGCTGGGCGTGCCTTCCTCTGGGTGCATTGGGGCCAGCGTCACCCACTGAGGACTGGACTTTTTCATTTTCCCGGCGTTCGCAGAGTGAACGGGGATGGGGCAGCCGGATCAGGAAAGAAGCCCAAAGACCCTACCAGAAGCTCATTCCTTCCAAGTTCCACGTTTTATAGTATTAAAAAGGCTCATGATGTGTCTTATTATGTGCATTACCCTGTCAATATGTAGAGTGTTGAAAGCAACTCCCTTGAGCCGCTAGGACGACGCGCCTCATTGGTCCTGGGCCCTGGGTCTCCCCGTTGGTCCTGGGCCCTCGGTCTCCCCGGCACAGGCCCGAACCGAGGCACACTTTCAGCTCACGAATCCCGCAGGCTGGGATCAAAATCGGCCTCTGTGTTGCAATGTGAGAGGTCGCAGTTCTAGCTGGGCACTCACCTCCGGGCCATTTTCGCCGTCGTGGACCCACCGGGGCCTCCAATGCAAACACAAGGCCGTGAGAAGCTGACAAGCTGCAGGCAGTGCCCCGGGCCCGCCGCCTGCAGCGCGGCTGGGAACCCCCGCGCCGGGGGCCTCGCCTCGGGGCGGGGGCGGGGCTCGGGCCACCTGGGGCGGGGCCTGCGGGCCTCGCCCCGCCCCGGACAGGGCGGGACGGGGAAGTCCCGCCCAGGAGGCCGGGGCCCTAGGCGACTCGGAGGGTTGTGACTGCCTCCTTCCGGCCGCCAGGACCCCGTCCGGAGGGCGAGTCCCAGCCCAGAGGGCAGCAGCGGGAGAGGCCGGCGGGTCATGCCCTGCTCACTCCGCGCCATTCTCCTCCGGGACCTGATCCTGGGCGTGTTGGGCATCTCTGCCTTCCTCATCCACTTGGGCTCCGACCTGTGGGCGGTGAGCCAGTATGTGCTCAGCGGCCGCTACCTGTGGGCCGCACTGGTGTTGTCGCTGCTGGGTGTCGCCTCGGTCGCACTGCAGGTCTTCAGCTGGGTCTGGCTGCGCGCCGACCCCGCCGACCTGCACTCGTCTCAGCTCTCCGCGCGCTGCCTGGCGCTGCTCCACCTCCTGCAGCTGGGCTACCTGTACAGGTGAGCGCCCCGCCCTGGGGAAGGGGGGAGACGGAGCCCGGCGGTACCTCCAACAGGTGGTACCTGTACAGGTGAGCGCCCCGCCCTGGGGAAGGGGGGAGACCGAGCCCGGCGGTACCTCCAACAGGTAGTACCTGTACAGGTGGCGCCCTGACACGGGAAGGGGGTGGGGAGGTACCCCTGGGCACCTTTACCTACAAGTGAGTTTCCATCTCCTTAAAAAGTGACGCCGGCTGATAGCCCTCAGACCTCATCCAGCCCTCCCCTGCCGGGCACAGGTAAAGAAGGAAGCAGGGCCAGAGAAGAAAGGCGTGATTCAGAGTCAGACCTCCCAATCTTGGCTTTACCATCTGTGGCCTCATTCCTGCCTTTCTCTGAGCCTCGGCTTCCTCCCCTGTTAAAAAGAGGTAGTAGCCCTGGCCTGTTTGGCTCAGTGGATAGAGCGCCAGCCTGCGGACTGAGGGGTCCCAGGTTTGATTCCAGTCAAGGGCACATGTCCCGGTTGCTGGTTCGGTCCCCCTTGGGGGTGTGCAGGAGGCAGCCAATCAATGATTCTCATCATTGATGTTTCTATCTCTCTCTCCCTCTTCTTCCTCTCTGAAATCAATATATATGTGTGTAACATATATACGTAGAGGCCTGATGCACAATTTCGTGCAAGAGTAGGCCTTCCTTCTCCGGGATGCCAGCACTGGCTTCCCTCTGGCACTCAGGACCCGGGCTTCCCTCTGGCCACCCGCGGGTACCCGAGACCCGGGCTTCCTTCACAGCCTTGGCTTCGTCTGGAAGGACATCTGGAAGGATGTCTGGTCTAATGAGCATATTATGCTTTTATTATTATAGACTAGAGGCCTGATGCACAAAATTTGTGCAAGGGTCTCGGCCCTCACAGCTGTGGCTTCGTCCGGAAAGTCGTCTTGGTCTAATTAGCATATTAGCTCTTTATTATATAGGAGATATATACATATATATATATGTATACATATATAGTAATCTAAAGGGTAGGTCTGGCAGGCAGGCCTGTTGTGAGGAGTGAGGGAAAGAACAGAGAGCTCGGCTCCTGAGACAGGTAAGCAGACAGACCAGTGTTCCTTTTAGCTGTGGATGGGGCCTTGGGCAAGACACTTGACTCCTGTAGGTCTCAGTTTACTCTTTGTTCTAGTGGGGATGGTCCTCATGCATGCCTCTGTTCGGTAAGGATTAAATGAAATGAGACCTGTGAATTGTGTGCAAACGCTAGCTAGCTTCATGAGAGTTTCAGCAGCCCTGACCCCAGAGCAGTACTTGTCCCCTCACCCCTGAGCGCCTCTCACCCTTGCTTTCCCAGCTGTATTCTCCCTGAACATTTCCTCCCGCCTCCCCCTGCTCCCCACCCTGACCAAGTTAGAGGGCAGCGATGGGGTCTGACTCATCCTTTCCAGGACTGGCAAGGCCCTCTAGAGATGGGGAAACTGACACCAGGGGGTCAGAGTCATGACGTAAAGTCAGGACGGGCTGTGGCCTGGGTTGGGCTGGGGTGGGCTGGGGTGGGTGGAGTCGGGATCTGCTTTTGAATCCATTTTTGTTGTTGTTTTGTTAATCCTCACCCGAGGATACTTTTTCCATTGATTTTTAGGGAGAGTGGAAAAGAGAGGGAAAGACAGAGAGAAACATCGATGTGAGAGAAACACATCAATTGGTTGCCTCCTGCAGGAGCCCCGACCAGGGCCCCGGGGAGGAACCTGCAACCAAGGTACGTGCCCTTGACCGGAATCGAACCCGGGACCCTTCGGCTCACAGGTTGATGCTCTATCTACTGAGCCAAACCGGCGAGGGCTTGAATCCATTTTTACAGAGTCTCTCCAGCTCTTGTCTTGACAAAGCTGCATCGAGTGTCCAGGAGTGGGCGAGAAGGGCTTTGAATGGTGCATTTTGCCCGAGGGACTGTACAGGCATCAGTAAAATTCCAGGGGGGCATGAAGAGGCACACATTACCATTCTGGCAGGCCTCAGTGAGCCCCGAATCCATAACTGTATCATGCATCTTCCCGTCTCCTATTTCTGCCGAGTGTGAGGCAGACGATGTACTGAGCTTTGGTTTTGAAAATGATCTCTGTGTCTGCCTGTGACAGGCTGAGGCAGGGCCCTGCCGTGGCATTGGGGGACCAGAGGCAGAGACTCCTGCTGGGGGAGAGCCCCAGCCCAGGGCTGCCTGCCTGTTTCCTTCCCGTGTTGTCAAGTCCGTCCAGGGGAGGTCACAGTACATGTCTGATGAATGAATTCGTAGTGAGCCAATGGGCTCACCTCCCAGTAACCAACTGAGACCAGTTGTGGGTGGTGGAAGCCGTGGTGCATCTCCACTCCCCCCTCATGCCAGCGGTCACCCAGGCCTGTCTGTCCAACTTCTGTACTCTCTCACCGCTGCCCCGTCTCCATCCCCACCCCTCTGGGGCTCTTGTCCTTTCTCCCTGGATTGTTTCGACAGCCTCTTAAATAGACCCCTGCTTCCGGTCTTCGCCCCTCCATCCCTTCCTCCTCGCCACACCTGGGAGTTCTTTCTACAGCACAATCTGACCTGTCTCACCTGTGCTCAGAAGCTCTCAATGGCGCCCCTTCCCCACAGGAGCCTAAGAAATTCTTGGGCTTGCTAACATTTGAGAACTATCATCGTAGGCAATTTTCTTGTGTGCCTTTGATATTCAAACACCACTGCTTATTAACCCTTTGGTCATGTTTTCCCATCTGTAAAATACAGATGTTGTGAGGCCTAAATGGGACAAGGTTTGTGATGAACTTGGGATAGTGCCTGGCCAGCAGGAGCAGTAGTAATTATTATTATTATTATTTTTAATGTGTTGGCAGAACACTTCTTTTTTAAATAATAATCAATAAAAAATATGTTTTTATTGATTTTAGAGAGGAAGGGAGAGGGAGAGAGATAGAAACATCAATGATGAGAGAGAATCGTTGATTGGCTGCCTCCTGCACACCCCCTACTGGGGATCGAGCCCACAACTGGAGCATGTGTCCTTGACCGGAATTGAACCCAGGACCCTTGAGTCCAGAGGCCGCCGCTCTGTCTTGCCCAGCGTCCCACAGCTTGTAGGATTGGCGCCTGCCTGCACCTACCTGGTAAGCAGGGCAAGGAGGAACGCCTCGGACACTAACCCGGCCCCTGGGTCATCCCTCTGTGCCTAGGTGCATGCAAGGGCTGCAGCAGGGGCTGTTGGTGTGGCAGCAGGAGGTGCCCTCCCCGTTCGACTTGGCCTACGCGGACTTCCTCTCCCTGGACATCAGCATGCTGCGGCTCTTCGAGACCTTCCTGGAGAAGACGCCGCAGCTCACGCTGGTGCTGGCCATCGTGCTGCAGAGCGGCCAGGCCGAGTACTACCAGTGTGAGTAGTCGCCCTGGCAGCAGCTCGCCCCCCTTTTATGGCTGGAGAAAGTTTCCCACAGAGATCAGAAATGCTTCCACTCTTTCATAAGGACTGCTTAGGAGATAGGAGCGCATCCTTCGTCAGGCAGGCCTGGGTTCAAGTCCAGGGTCCAATCCCAACACTAGCTGCAGGAGTTTGACCAATGACTCCACCTCTCTGAGTATTGGTTTGTTTTTATCTGTGAAATGGACATAACACATAATCCTACCTCATAGGACTGATGAAAGGATCAAGGGAGGTGATGCATGTACCAGGTCTCTGGTGCATAAATAAAGCTTCATTGTCATTTTTACTCTTTTGAAGACAACAGATAAAGTGAGTGTGTAGGGTGCGACACATAATAGACAACTTGTTGGTCCATAAAATGTCTGTTGGGCACCTTCACTCACTTAAGTTGTTATTGAGCATCTTTGTGCCTGTCCCTGTGCTGGGGGCACTGCAGTGAGCAAGGACCAGCCCCTGCCCTGCTGGGCTGGCGGGAAAGCAGGTAGTTAAAGGGAAGTAATGAGCCCATGGACTCCAACTGTGTCTGATTCCAGGTCCAGGGCTGCTCCTTTTCTGCCACACCCCTGCCTCCTGCCCTGCTCCCCTACCCCTGCTGTAAATGCCACAAGCCTCCCAAGGGACCAGTCTCCACTCCGCCCTCACTCACTGTGTGACCTGGAGAGCCTTCCCTTCTCTGGCCTCAGGTTCCATAGCTGTACAAGATGGGGTTGGACTTGATCTCCAGGGACGCCTTTAGCTGCTACTCAGAGCCTGTAGTATTAATTGAAAAAGACCAGTAATAGCAGCCATCACGATCGAGTGCCTGCTGGTAACTGGCACCGTGTGGAGTGCTTTATTGTCAGTGCTCACATCAAGCCCTATAGGTTGGTGCTATGTGTATCTCCATTTTGCACAAGAGGAAAGAGGTACAGAAAGGTGGAGTGATTTGCCCTGGGACATACAGCATATACTGGGCACACATTTTTGTTTGTCTGTTTGAGAGCAGTGAGTGTCTAGGACCAGGGCCAAATGGATACAGTCTACACCATCTGTGTATGGGGGGTGGGGGAGAGGAGCGAGGAAAGAGACGGATTTTCCCAACTTTTTATTTATTTATTTATTTTTTAAAAATATATATTTTATTGACTTTTTACAGAGAGAATGGGAGAGGGATAGAGAGTTAGAAACATCGATGAGAGAGAAACATTGATCAGCACACCCCTGCACACCCCCCACTGGGGATGTGCCTGCAACCGAGGTACATGCCCCCGACCGGAATCAAACCCGGGACCCTTCAGTCCGCAGGCCGACGCTCTATCCACTGAGCCAAACCGGTCAGGGCTCCCAACTTTTTATTTAGCAAACATTTGTGCCAGGTACTGGGCTGCCTGGGGATCCCAGGGGAGCAGAATCTGTTTCCTACCCTGAAGGAGCTCAGAGATAAGGAAATTGGTAATTAGTTCAACAGAAGTGGGTGGGACCAGATCTGGATGTGTGGCTCTAGGGCAGTGGTTCTCAACCTTCCTCATGCCGCGACCCTTCAATACAGTTCCTCATGTTGTGGTGACCCCCAACCATAAAATTATTTTCGTTGCTACTTCATAACTGTAATTTTGCTACTGTTATGAATCGTAATGTAAATATCTGATATGCAGGATGTATTTTCATTGTTACAAATTGAACATAATTAAAGCATAGTGATTAATCACAAAAACAATATGTAATTATATATGTGTTTTCTGATGGTCTTAGGCATTCCACCCCCAAAGGGGTCGCGACCCACAGGTTGAGAACCGCTGCTCCAGGGGATACTTCAGGGTAAGGATTCCAGGCTGGGCTTCCAGGCTGGGCGTGGGGTCCTGGCCCATAAGAGGGTCCCAGTAAACATCTGGCGAATGGATGCGGTGGGAAGGAGGCAGGGGAGGAAGCGTTCTAGAGACATTCCAGCGCTGCTTCCCTCCCTCTCTGGGGACCCTGGTGCTTCTAGTCCACCGTGGACAACCAGTAGGTGGGATAGGATCCCCACTGTACACTTCGAGTCTTGGGAAATCAAGAGCAGGGCCCAGTCTGAGCAGGGAGGGGAGGGGAGTGAGGATGTACCATCCACACAGCAGGGCACCTTCAGAGGCCTGTTGCTACCGCACGGGGTTTCCAGCTTCCCTTTCTGAGAGTAAGAAAGGGGGAACTGGGACCGCTGAGTTTCAGATCCAAGAAAGGCGTGGGCTCTTCCGGGGAAGGAAGGGTTGCAGGGTTCTTTAAGATGCCCAGGCCCAGCCGAAACTGGTTTGGCTCAGTGGATAGAGCATCGGCCTGCGAACTGAAGGGTCCCGGGTTCGATTCCGGTCAAGGGCATGTACCTTGGTTGCGGGCACATCCCCAGTAGGGGGTGTGCAAGAGGCAGCTGATCAGTGTTTCTCTCTCATCGATGTTTCTAACTTTCTATCTCTCTCCCTTCCTCTCTGTAAAAAATCAATAAAATATATTTAAAAAAAAAAAGATGCCCAGGCCCAGGGGTGCAGATGAGGGTGTGTACCTGAGAAGTAAAGCTTTGTGGTGAAGGGCAGACCCCATAGTTGAATCTCAGACCAGGTTTTGGTTGTGAGAACAATGTTCTCCAGTTGTAGTTTTCCCTTCAACAAATTGGGGGTTCACATACCCACCTCAGGGTGGTTTTGAGGCCCCCAGAACCTGTGAGCTCTGGGGAGGGTCAGGCAGGCTGCCCACAGGGCTCAGCTGTCTCCTCTTCCTCTCCGCAGGGTTTGGCATCTGCACGTCCTTCATGGGTATCTCATGGGCACTGCTTGACTACCACCGGGCCTTGCGCACCTGCCTCCCCTCCAAGCCTGTCCTGGGGCTGGGCTCTTCCGTGATCTACTTCCTGTGGAACCTGCTGCTGCTGTGGCCCCGAGTCCTGGCCGTGGCCCTGTTCTCAGCTCTCTTCCCCCGCTACGTGGCTCTGCACTTCCTGGGCCTGTGGCTGGTGCTGCTGTTCTGGGTCTGGTGTCAGGGCACCAATTTTATGCCAGACCCCCGCTCCGAGTGGCTCTACCGGGCAACGGTGGCCACCATCCTTTACTTCTCCTGGTTCAATGTGGCTGAGGGCCACACTCGAGGCCGTGCCACCATCCACCTGGTGTTCCTCCTGAGTGACAGCGTTCTCATGGTGGTCACCTGGGTGACGCAAAGTGCATGGCTGCCCAGTGGGATCCCGCTGCAGATGTTGCTGCCGGTGGGCGGCACCAGCTTCCTTCTGGGTCTGGGTCTGCGGCTTGTCTACTACCGCTGGCTGCACCCCAGCTACCCCTGGGAGCCTGACCAGGTGGACGGGACAACCGCCTTCCGCTCCCTCGAGCACTATCAGCTGCCTCAGAACAGGCGCATGGACCATTTGGCTCAGAATTTTTTCTCCAAGGCTAGGGATGAGGCTGCTCTGCCATGGCCGGGGGAGGTCAATGGCGTCCTTTGAGTCAGGGTCGGACCCAGCCAGGGGACAGAAGGACACATGCCATCAATCGTTAGAATGCAGGAGAAGATAAGCTAATTGTGCTGCTATGGGTCTGGACTCACTCAACAAGCACTTGCTGCCTGATCTTGCCAGGCACTGGAGACTAGAGTTGAATAAGACAGAGGCCTGCCTTCAAGGATCAGAAGAAGATGAGGACTGCACCCTAGAGGGTTAAGAGCTTCAATTATATACAAAACACTTGGAGAGGACAGAAAAGATCCCCTTTTCTTTTCCTTCCAACCAGTATATCTGGAGCCCAAAGCATCCCCTATCCTGGAAGCCATGGATGCCCCAATTGGCTGACCTCCATCAACCCGTCCAAGGCCTTAGTGCAGCTGGCCCAGCCTCTGCCCCTGCTCTCAAGGGGCTGCCTTTTAACCAGCTGCCTTGTTAACCTGTGGTCTGGGCCATGGCTCAGCCCATGGAGTATATGTTTTATACGTTAGACCAGTGGTTCTCAACCTTCTGGCCCTTCTAGCCCTTCCTCATGTTGTGACCCAACCATAAAATTATTTTCGTTACTACTTCATAACTGTAATGTTGTTACTGTTATGGATCGTAATGTAAATATCTGATATGCGGGATGGTCTTAGGCGACCCTTGTGAAAGGGTCGTTCGACCACCAAAGGGGTCCTGACCCACAGGTTGAGAACCGCTGCGTTAGACAGTATATTTTCTACCTCGGAACCTATTGTGAGGAAGAGAAGGTGTATGCATATGTGTCTCTGCAGGTGAGAGACACTGTGTGTTGTTTTGTTGAACAGTATTATTAGGTTGTTATTAAAACCTTATAAAATCCTCCAAACTAGCTGTGTCATTAAACTAAATCTACAGAACTCCAAGCCGCTTGGAAAGAAGGGGTCGGGGACACAAAGTCCACTGCTCAAAATCGGTGAAGAGGACAGAGGAGAAGGGGGCTGGACGCAGGCAGGATTTCTCAACCTTGTTTTCTACGTTTCAGGCTGGCGAGCCGGTGTGGGGTTGATCGTTCAGGTGGGCACCAGAACCCAGATCTGGACTGACTGGTGCTCTGCTGCTGGGCCCGGCAGTCGCTGCAAACACCTTTAGTGCCAGAAGTGAATACGGGAGCCCAGGTGAAGGTCTTTTATGGGAAGCTCAGGGAGGGTGTAAGTGATGAGGTGGCTTAAGGAATGTGAAAGTGGGCAATGGTGCCAGGGAGGTGGCATCTTTTGCTGCTCTCGGGAGGTCTGTGGGTTGGAGAAACAAGGAATTTTTGCCAAAGCTCTCATCTATACCCTAGATCAGTGGTTCTCAACCTTCTGGCCCTTTAAATACAGTTCCTCATGTTGTGACCCAACCATAAAATTATTGTCGTTGCTACTTCATAACTGTAATGTTGCTACTGTTATGAATCGTAATGTAAATATCTGATATGCAGGATGGTCTTAGGCGACCCCTGTGAAAGGGTCGTTCGACCGCCAAAGGGGTCACGACCCACAGGTTGAGAACCGCTGCTCTAGATGAAGTTGTCAAATGATGGCAATATGTACGCAGTTAACTCCAAACAATGTATACCGATACTACCTAAAAAGCTATAGAAAAAGTTTCACTTGTATATACACTTAAAAGTTTACAGGATCGCCCGAGCCGGTTTGGCTCAGTGGATAGAGGGTCGGCCTGTGGATCAAAGGGTCCAGGGTTCAATTCTGGTCAAGGCACGTACCTCAGTCAGGGCTGGTGTAGGAGACAACCCATCGATGTGTTTCTCTCACATTGATGTTTCTGTCTTTCCCTCTCTCTTCCACTCTCCCTAAGAATCAATGGAAAAATATTCTCGGGTGAAGATATAAGTAAGTTTACAGAATCAAAAGCTTTAAAAAGATGAGTGACATTAGAAATTTCCTTTGAAAATTCCCATCAATCATTTTTTTTCAAATGTCAAGAAACCTGTTTTTGAAGAAAACCTCCTGAATTGTCTTTTCACAAAAAGTTTTTTGAGAAATGTGCAGATGTTATACTTATCGTAGGGGGAGATGAAGGTGTTTAATCTTTGGGCTTGAGAAGCAATATTTGTGCTTACAAGCAAGGATATAGCAACTCACAGGTTTGCTTCATCTACAGTGCGGTCCAACATGTGCCCCTTCTTTTCTTCTAAATCCTCACCTGAGGATATGGTTTTTGTTTGTTTGTTTGTTTTTAGAGAGAGAGAGAGGAAGGGGGAGGGAGAGAGAAACATTGATGTGAGAGAAAAACATCCATCGGTTGCCTCCTGTACTCGCCCTGACTGGGAATCGAACCCACAACCTTTTGGTGTACAGGATGATGCTTCAACCGACTGAGCCAACAGAGCCATAATGTACAACTTTCTGTTGAAAAGATGTAATGATTAGAATACATGGCAACCCCATCTTTTCTGAGGTGATTAATTTGGGAAAAACACCCTGTACACTGACATATAAGGCACTTGGAAGCTAGATCTGAATTCTGATTTCCTTCATTGAAATAAAAGGCAAAAGAATTCTTGATTTTTCCAGACCAACAATGGACAGACCCAAATCTGAAGAAATGAAATGAGAAAAAGTAGCTGATGGGACATGAAATCAGGCCAAATCAAACAAGGCTTGATGTTAGTTTGTTTTATTGCTTTTGTGTTTTAAGCTTAGCACAGCAAGTTACTAATAATTAAATTTCAACACATTTGACAGAAAATGAAATCTCTTATACCAGTCCTAAACTTTAAAAAGCAATACACACACACACACACACACACACACTGAGTGGCCAGATTATTATGACCACCTGACGTTTGTAGGCAAATTAGCTATAATTTTGCCGTGGCCGGTTTGGCTCAGTGGATAGAGTGTTGGTCTGCGGACTGAAAGGTCCTGGGTTCGATTCTGGTCAAGGGCATTACCTTGGTTGCGGGCACATCCCCAGTGGGAAGTGTGCAGGAGGCGGCTGATCGATGTTTCTCTCTCATCGTTGTTTCTAACTCTATCTCCCTTCCTTTCTGTAAAAAAATCAATAAAATATATTTTAAAAAAATTAGCTATAATTTCGAGCTGAAGTTGTTAGAGGGCCAGACCATTATAAACAGGGAAGTAGGTTGTTTACCACGATAGTTACCCAAGCACAGGAACACAAGGATTGGACAGTCGAGCATTGGAAAAAAGTCATGTGGTCCGATAAATCACGTTTCCAGTTGCATCATGCAGATGGCAGAGTGAGAATTTGGCGGAAACAGCATGAAAGCATGCACCCCACATGCATGAGTAAAACCCTTCAAGCTGGTGGGGGCAGTGTTATGGTTTGGGGCATGTTTTCCTGGCATGATTTGGGCCCTTTAATTCGTGTGGAACAACGTCTGAATAGCACAACATACCTAAGTATCGTTGTTGATCAAGTTCATCCTATCATGTTGATGGTGTATCCCAATGGAGATGGCTTCTTCCAACAAGACAATGCACCATGCCATGGTGCTCGTATTGTGCAGGAGTGGTTTCAAGAACATGAGGGAGACTTTACCTTGCTTAGGTGGCCCCCACCATCACCAGATCTCAATCCAATTGAGCATTTGTGGGACAAAGTTAAAAGAGCCATTAGGCAGCTGGTTCCACAACCATCAAATCTCACAGAACTGGACAGTGCTATTCATCAGGCATGGTGTCAGATTCCTCGCATCACCTTTCAACATCTCATGGAGTCAATGCCAAGAAGAATTGCCACAGTATTGAAGGCAAAAAGTGGCCCAACGAAGTACTGATGGGGTGGTCATAATAATCTGGCCACTCAGTGTGTGTGTGTGTGTGTGTGTGTGTGTGTGTGTGAGTGTGTATATATATATATATATATATATATATATATATATATATATATATATATAAAATTTGATTTCAGAGAGGAAGGGAGAGGGAGAGAGAAACGTCAATGATGAGAGAGAATCATTGATTGGCCGCCTCCTGCATGCCCCTACTGGGGATCGAGCCCGCAACCCGGGCATGTGCCCTGACTGGGAATCAAACCCTGACCACCTGGTTCACAGGTTGATGCTCAACAACTGAGCCACGCCAGCCAGGCTCAATATATTTTATAGACAATTAATTTGTCCTGGTTTAGTGATTAGAGCTCCGACCCACGCCCCAAAGGGTTGCAGGTTCGATTCTGGTCAAGGGCATGTGCCTGGGTTTAAAGTTCAATCCCTGGCCCTGGTTGGTGTCTCTTTCACCTGGATGTTTTTCTCTCCCCCCTCCCCCGCCCCGCCCCTCTAAAAATAAATGGAAAAATATCCTCGGGTGAGGATCAGCTAAAATAAACTTTTCCTTGCAAATTATTTTTCCTCCATGTACATTTATACCAAAAGGTTGGTTATTTTTTTCTACCTTTTTGGTGAAATTAATTAGTTATTAAAAGGGTGGTATCTTGCCTAACTGGTTTGGCTCAGTGGATAGAGCGTCGGCCTGCGGACTGAAAGGTCCCAGGTTCGATTCCAGTCAAGGGCATGTACCTTGATTGTGGGCACATCCCACTAGGAGATATGCAGGAGGCAGCTGATCGATGTTTCTCTCTCATTGATGTTTCTAACTCTCTCTCTCTCTCCCTTCCTCTCTGTAAAAAATCAATAAAATATATTTTAAAAAAAATAAATAAAAGGATGGTATCTTTTAATGAACTCGATTTTTATAATGAGCTCTTCAGATTTTTATAAAACCTTACTTAGGTGCCAACTAGCTGGGCAACTGTGTTGATCCTATTCAGAAAAGACATAGGAGCAAACTGTATAGAAAATAAAAACTTTATTTTTTTTTCAAGTTTACAAGATAGTTCCCATTACATATAACATTATGGTCAAAGACTCTACAGCCATGAATGCCCGCAGTCACATAAATATATCCAATTCAATCAATGCCTTTTACTGCTAAATGAGGCATCTGTAATCCAGAGGGTCAGGCTTTGAGAAGTCGCCCTTAATGGGATGGCTCCTGTCAGTGCATTAGGAACTAGCCAATGAGTCTTGCTTGCTAGAGCTGTCTGACTCAGAGGAGAGAAACAGAAGGCCTGCTGAACTAGATTTTCTCTCTTGTGGTTTAAGATATTTTAGAATTTGCCCTGGCCAGTGTGGCTTAGTTGGTTGAGCATCCTCCCATACACTAAGAGGTCCTGGTCAGGGTACAGGCCTGGGTTGTGGGCTTGATCTCCAGTAGAGGGTGTGCAGATGGCAGCCGATTGATCGATGTTTCTCTCTCCTTCTCTCTCTAAAAATCAATAAGAACATAATATATATGATATTTTAGAATCTCAGAATTCAGATTTGGCTTGTTATGGTATAGATCTGGGGAGTTCCAACTTTTGGATGAAAAGGAAACCAAATTAGTGGTAAGAAACAGAAGCTGCTTACAGGGGCCCTGCTTGCCTCTTCCTGCAGGAGAGGAACACCCCAAGCTCACGACCCCTTGGCTCAGACCATCACTCTCCCAGGAAGTGGGAGAACAGCTCTGTCCCTCCTCCTCTTCCCTATGCTTCAGCAGCACTGACACCCATTCAAGGGAGTGGAAATCTAAAAGCTGGTTTGCCAGTCAGATTCTACTTGGGAGCTTTAGCGCTGAGTTTGTGTAAACTGCGAACAAACTGTGGCACAAGTCTCCTGGGACACTAGTTTTGGCCCCTCCCAACTTGCAGAGCAGAAGATAGGAACACCCCAAACCAAATAAAAGCATCTAAATCTGGAGCAGGAATCCATTCTCCTGGACACCACCAGCTGCCCCAGGGGCACTGGACAGGGTGATGCTAAGGCACAGTCAGTTTTACATTCGAGAGTCAAGCCACCTCTTAAACCCAGGACACACT